CCCACCCCCCTCCACTTTTGTCTTTTTTCATATGTGACTTTGTGAAGGAACTGCCTTGACAGTTATGTTTTTTTTCTATTTGGTCAGCCCCCATCTCCCTCCCTGTCCCAAAACGCCTCTTCTTTAAGTCTGTTCTTCTGTGGCAACTTCCCATTTTTGCATTGCACTGCACCTTTAATTTTTCTCCTAAATTTCTTCTCTTCTTAACTATCGTCTTTGTCTCCCCAACCCTCTCCCAAATGGTCTTTTTCAGTTCAGGGTGGGGCAACCTTCATACCGAAGGCTACACAAGCAACCTTTTATACATGCTCACAGAAATCAAACTGATCTGAGTTCTATACTAACTTTAAATACTGACTTCACCAGTGTTCATGTTGGTCATCTGCCTCTGAAACAGCCACTTTTGGCTTCGGAGAGTATCAAGCAGACATCTTGGAGTGTTTGAAAGAGGCAGCCATTCACGGGATAGTTTGCAGAAAAATGTTGCATCTTGGCATTTTACAATCTTGATCCTTGTTCAAAGTCTTCATCAGTAAAATGCTTTGCAAGATGAAGATGAGTGTCCTCAACAAATAATTAAGGTTTTTTAGATTTTCAGAAATGTTCGTCAAACAAAGAATGGAAATGTTTGGATATAGCTCCTTCTACAGTGAACAAAAATGCCATTTATAAACAATCTCTTATCCTTTTCTTATGAATTAATAGGCTTTACTCATCAGTGGCTCACATCACCACATGAGAAAGTGGTTCCTGTGGGGAAAACTTTTCTATGGGCTCGAAGGCAGTAGACATGGACCATCACACAGTGAAGCTCTTTTTTGGAAGAAATGAATACCATGTGCCTCTCGAGTTTTTGCTTTCATTTAGGTCTTACGTGTCACCGTTTTCAAAGATACAAAATGCTGCATATTAAAGAAAGCAAATCAGCTCCAGATCCCTGATGTGAGATGTGACATGGAAACCCGAAAGCTACATATCCAGAAACAAAACAAATCAGAATCTGGTTTCACATTGTTTAAAGTTTCCTTGTGGCAGTTCCTCTGTGTTCCCTCACACGCAAAGACAATTCTCCCTGTTCAGGAAGCATTAAATAAACATAAAGCATTTGGAAACAGCTCAAGAGGAGATACATCACAGTCCTTCACCGTGTCACAGATATTCGGGCCAGCCTTCCCCCATGGATAACTGCGAAACAAAACTGGAAAGCTTTTCTCTTTCATTTCAGCTGGAAAGGCTTTACAGTTTTATCTATTAACTGTAGCATATCACTATTTTTTCTCCTGTTACATACGCCGGCTGGCTGCTCACATGCAGCTTAGGGGACTTCCATGAGAAGGGTACTTCTGCTTAAAGAGAAATCATTCTTTGCAGAAAGCTCCAGAGTATTATATTGCGTCTGGAAGACAGCAAAGGGGAAACAATGGAGTAGAAAAGCAGAAACAAAGGCTTGCCTTTATTTCTCCCCCTTATCAGGTTCCAGGGGCATTCCATTCCTAAAATCTCTTATAACACACAAACTGAATGCATGCATGGATGCACACTCACATAATAAAGCACACACTGCCACCTCATAAGACTCGCTTACATTGTAATGCCTCATGGACAAATGATTATAGAGGCCCAGTTAGGGTGCTTCTGTGCTATAGCAAGGGAGCAAGAGTCGTATGGGTGTGTGTGTATGTCTACAGCCACAGAACAGTGAGAGCGGGCATTGATTCGAGAGAGAATGAACCTAGAGACCTGGTGAGAGAGAGGCTAACCAGAGCCAGATGGTGCGATAGTGCACATTAATGCAACAAGATATGTGCATCCACAAAGGCACAGAGAGGAGAACACACAATTTTATTTAGGACACTTGCAAAAGTAGTGGGATGCAACAGTTAGAGCGTGTGTTGCCGAGTTCTGTGTTGTTTGTCTTACCTAGTCGAAGCTCACACAAACGGAGCTGAGGATCCAGGGGAGGGTGAAGTCTCCTCTTTTTTCTCCAGCAACGTGCAGGATAGGTATACATCTGTCCTGCTGCCCGGCCTGGACGCAGATGCCCAACACGCACATGCATACATATACAAGCACACGGACACATTTGCAAAGAAACACACAGGCACACAGGAAGAATTTTAACAACCACTGGCAAGCTAACCTCTTTAACAAACCTCACATTGAGTTCCCTACACACACACCACGCACACATATAGAGATACACACAGAGGCCTTACTTGTATTCCTAACACTTAATATGCACTTTTCAGTAGTGCTCAGGCTAATGGTCCATGTCTTCAGAGAAATCCTCCTGGTATGGTCAGTATTTTTCCACTCCCATTGAACACTAGTGTTTCAATTCTAATGTCTTATTTGCATACCAATTAGATTTTAAGTACAAAAAAGAGGAATACAAAAATGCGCGAACATATTCAATTGAAAAAAAAACCATTTAATTTTATCATAATGAATATTTTTATCACTCCCTTCCCTTCATTATGTTCCACCATCCACCATGCTGATGAAGAAAGGGTTGTTTTTTTGTTTTTGTTTTTTTTGTCTGCAATGGGCAGAAAGAAAATCAAGAGATGGAGGGGGAGGGACATATCCAGAATAAATGCATATAATGTAAGTAAGGTCTGCCACAAAGTATAGGGTGTGGCCTGAAGGGCTTTGCATACAAGATGGAGAGCAGGCTATTTGTGTCCAGCTCTAACTAAAGAGCAGATTGTTCCCTTTGGCTTTGCAGACGAACCACATGTGCATAATGCATTCTGACTGCTTGTTGCAGGATAAATCAGTGGGTGGAAACCAGAAGTTGACGTTTCTAGTGAAGGACAATATCAATATTTTACGTGTCTTACACATGAGTTCAGTATTCCAGAATTAAGCTAATATACTTTCTGAAAGTGTCTCATGTCTGTGCTATAGATACCAAATCCCAGGAGGCTACTTTAAGTAACTTTGGACTGGAAGCATGGGGAAACAATTAAAATAACACAGCTCTGTTCATAGGCTTGAAAATAAAAACTGTAGTAGCACTCATAAAGCTCATTAAGTTCCACTGACCTTCTGGTTTTCACACTGGTTTCTTGGAAAGATCATGCTAACAACATCCTCCAATGACTGGGTACTTTGCGCCAAAAATGACAATAACGTCAATGAAACTGCAAATATAGTATTGTCATACAAAGTGGAATTTGTTTTTTTAAACTCCTTGAAAGCCAATGTAGTGCAAGCATGGAGCGAACTCCAACATTGTATATTATTCTATTTAGTCATTGTTCAGTATACCCCAATTTGAATTATTCCTGACCACATATGTTACACTCAGATCAGATCAACAGACAAAAAAACAATTGACCTGATCACACTCCTCAGGTTAGGTGCTAGCTGTACTGAGACCAAATCCAGTTTCAGCACCTTTTCGGATTTGAAAAGACTCTCTAGACTTTCCTTTTCTTATCAGTTGAAAGATTACAGCGTGTGTATATGTGATTGTCTGTTTACTTGAAGCTCCATGTTCCGTTTTCTGCGTAAAGGCTATTTCATTATGTTCATATGTGTGGATGCTTTAATAGCTGTTAAATAAATCCAGGGGACCCTATATATGAACACCATAGTAGGGATGTTATAACAAGACCTATATTTTGTTCCTTTAATTTAAATTCTCGAAGAGGAATTAGGGACTTATAGGTGTTCTTTCTCATTCACTTCCTGTTGTCAGTATAATTTCCCCAATTTGAAAATCTTGTCCATTATTGTAAAATGTATTGATATTATTGTAGTTTGAAGTATCCTATGCAATCTATAGCAAATAAACACTCTTTTAGAGGTGCCTTCTTTTCCATTAATTTAGCGGAAATTGAATGTTTCAGGGTCGTGTCTGAAATGTTTGTGCGTAACAGCTTGGCACTTGCCTCGACTGATGTAGCGACATTAGGAAATTGCCATCCACAGAAGCAGAGGTCATAGGAATAAAAAAAAGCAATACCGTTCAAGCTTTACGCCAAATGAACAACAGCAAAAAAACTGTGAGTTATTATCCGCTCACACAGTACAAACGTGTGGGAGGAGATGACGGTGAAGGCTGTGTCGCCAGGAGATGTGAAAGATAATGCTGTTCGGGACCATCCACTTGACTGGAAGTGCAATCAAATAAGTCTCCTCAACACCTTTTACTTTATAAAGGAGATGACCATGAACAAATAGAACAACTGGATCTCGACTGGATAAGTGGACCAAATTCACAAGGAGAACTTAATTTGAGATAATGAATTGCTTTGTGCCCTGCGATGGACTGGCGGACCGTCTAGAGTACTGGGGTAGGCTCTAGACCCCCCGCGACCCCATTAGGGGATAAGCGGTTCAGAAAATGGATGGATGGATGGATGATTTGCTTTGTTGCAATGGACAACCACTGGAGGGTATTTCTGCATCCATAAGATTGGGACATTACATGTTACTGGATGTACTGTCAACCAAAAATTGTGCAAACACTGCCAAGTCTAAACAAAGTTATGTAGAACATCAAAATATGTATTATAGTGACAGATTAGCGTCTACTGGCATGCGGTAGCAGGATTTCTTGCCCCTGCAGTGCTTCTCACCCGGCCGCCGGTGGCACTTTTCCATCCAGATGTAGCAGTTGTTCTGTGCCACGCCGGTTTGTGAGTCCAGGAAGGGCATGCGCACGCTGCGTTCAGCACAGAGACGGGCATTGTAGCTGCGACAGTGTTCAATGGCCTCCTTATAGAACTGATCACCAAGGCTGGACACACAGAGAAAGAAAAACCAAGACTCAGACAGTTAGAGAACACAGCAGGTAAATAGTCACAGAGGACGACCAGGAAAAAAAGGAGGACTTCAGCATATGCATCAGGTTAACTTATATTTAGTTCAACAAAAAATTCCCATTGACTCAACATCTGCAGCAAATAGAATTCTTTTTTTTTGCGGAAATAAAGTTCACCACAACATTATAGTGTCACTTCTACCATTGATCCGAGCATCCTGCTTTGATTTCTCTCTTTTCGGTGATGAATAATTTCTGCTGAGGTTCTATGGTCAAAATGAAGGACAGTTTTGAATGGTGAGGTCTGGATTTGAAAGCAGCTGAGCTTAGATATAAATGCAAGCTGAGCTAGCAAGGAAAAACCTCAGGAAAATGATGATGAACCATAACAACAGAAGAAATGCTTCATCCTATCAAAATGATGGATCAGTGAGTACGCCAGATCGAAGTTCACTTAACAGATGGGTTTTCACACACAAACACACACACACACACATGCACACACACACTATTGACCAAAAAGAGAATATAAATCAATTTGTGAGTCATTAATAACTTCTAAAGACTCAGACCAGAGCAGGGCCATTAAACACAGGCAGATCAAACCAAGATTAGCTGACTTTTGCCAAAGATAAAAGTCCCTATGAAACAAAAGACAAACCAAAAAGAAGACTTTGCTATCGGTTTCTGCTATGGAGAAAATTCCTCTTGGATTCATGTATCCAAAGTAGAGGGGCAGTGACTGCATCTCTGTTTATATACAAGCATGTTTATCTTGCTGACCATCACCTGCCTCTCCCTGATGGCCGAGTGCAATGGGCAGTCTGTGCATACTCTACACAAATATGTAAAGAATGCCAGGCCGAACAAAGCCCATGACTCTGGGCAAAATGAGCTTCTTAAGATTATGGACAGGAGGATGGATAAAGAAAGAAAAGGATGAAGGGGCAGAGGAGTGAGGGCTGAATGAGGTATTACTTGACAGCTTGAAGCAGAAGAGAAGTAGACATAAGGTAAAAGACACAAGCCAAAAAAGGAACAGGAAGAAAAAAATGGGAAAACACCTGACATGTGGAAAACAGATTAAAGGCTCCTGCATTATAGGCTCCTATTTATATTTCTATCATATCAATAACACCATAACTTTAACAGCAGACACATCTGGACAAAGATCAGAGGTTATTTTAAAAAAATCAACGGAAAGTTTATGTGTGAGGGTTTAAAAGAACAAATGTGCAGAGAAGGCAAAAAGAGTTAAAAGGGGAAAATGGCTGTATATACAGTCTTCTCTGGGGGAGTATTGTAATAATATGCCAGAAAAATAAATCATGTCTGCCCCTAAACTGTAAGTCAGCCTAGTTGATGATTTAGCATGATATGAGGAAGCAGCAAAGGTAAATTTTCATGACATCTGGAGTATTTCCATGGCACACGTTACCATGTGACAACAAAAGTATTTGTATAAATTAGGGAGTATAGGGAGTATTTTTTGTGTATTATGTTTAAATTCTTTCAGCATCTTCTCAATTGAAATCTACAACTAAATTGTCTAAATTACATTGTTTGGGGTTTTTTTTAAACCAAACATTAATACCTGATAACAGCCCCAGTTGATGCTCCCTCCATTGTACTTTGCACTTTTAGATGACTTCCTTTTTGTACGTGATATTTCTTTTTGGGATATTTTCTGTGGCTCAGATTATTTGAAGTTATCTGGCCCAAACACGTCTTGCAAACTCTGACAGAAATAAGTTAAAAATTCAAGTGGCTCTCCCATTCAGTACCTTAGAGTCTGGCTTTAATTTTGTCGTAAAAAAAGAAACAAAAAGGAGGAAAGCAGCTGGTGTTTTTGGTAACATATTAATACAGAACAAGACCAGCAGTTGAAGAGATCCGGTCAAATCCAAAAGTCCAGAAGAGACTTCCTGTCACATATCTCACGTTCCCAGAGGTAAAATGTTATCTCCGCTGATGTGTGTATGTGGGCCCGCAGGCATTTCTCCTCATCTTTCTATCCCCATTTTCCTCACCACACACTGGCTGTACGTTTCTGTCCCGTTTCCGACAAGAAAGCGTCTGTACAGCCTCCCCAGGCAGCTTTGCAAACTCTTACATAAGTGAGCTGCTGTGCATTTGTCCGTGTGGTGTTTTCATTACGTGAGAGTGAAGAGGCAGGATGTGTGCATGCCTCCAGGACCATCTGTGTGTGTGCGTCGCTTGTCCTGAGAAGTCCTCCCAAACCTCTCAAACCTGATTGGTAAATTGTAATGTGCCGCTGTTCGTTTCCATTAGTCAAATGTATGGCCGATCACAGCAGTGGACCTTATGTAAGTGGAGCTCTGCACGCACGTCAGGCAGCACATTCTTCTTAGACAACAGTTTCCTGGATACTGATGGAATCTGCAGTTGTGTGTATTTGTGTCTGTGTGTACCAATGTGATTGACTCAATTGCTCCCATACTTGCACAGAGGAGCTTTGTGTGCATGAAGGACCATCTTATCCCTGCCAAGCACAGAGGCTGCAATGGGCAGCGTGCCATTTTATCAGCTCAGGTCATTTTGTTGACAGGTACAGCTTTTAAGTCTTTTGTTTGTTTTTTTTGGGTCTGTGGCAGACCTCAGAGGCCGTCGCCCTCACAGGTTCTCCTGATCATTATCAACGTCAAAGCCAAAAAGACATAATCCAGCAGTTTAGGAGCCGAGTTGATTTAGATTGAAACTTAGGAAATTAAATAATAAATGTGTGACTTTATAGGATGGTGCTGTGTCATTTGATCACATCTCAAACTGTCTTTGGGATCATTTCAGTGAGGTTTTGCATATTCATAAATGTGACAATTAAGGCTTTTTTCATATTATGTCATTGTGTCCTGTGACATTTTGTAGACTAACTAACTGATGCTTAACTGGAATATCTTTTTATAGACTAACATCTATCATTGATGTCGTAATGTTTTTTTTTTCTTACAAGAAAGGACATAAATACAATCTAGCTTGAAGGTTTCCAGGTCTGTCCTGTCTGCTTTACACTGAGCACTGAGTGAGTGTAATGGTTTTTTACTTTAAAACAGAAACCATATCAGCAATAAACTGAGGTTTACACACCTAAGAGACCACGACTGGCCTTGGAGAGTTTGAGTACCAGTCATTATTTGATTGATTTAGTTATTTGTTAGTTTTAAGAAAATAAGAATCAAATTTGCCTGGATCGCAGTGGGTCAATAAAAGTAGCTCTTCATATGCTTTCACTTCACCAGTGTACGCCATAGATCATGTAAACCAATTTGTCTTACTCTGGTTGTGTACTTCAACACACATGCACAGAAAGTGTGATAACTTGCTCTGTCACTGTTCTGATCATTGTCAGCTCCGCTTAAAATCATAGCACACAAACCCAGCCCCCCCGCTAATGGGTTTCTCTGCCTGACGCTGACTGTGTCATATATGCTGTAAAAGATGCTGATTTCTATTAATTAAGTGATAGGATTATGACTGTGAATAGATAACTATACTATATTAGAGTATCACTGAAAAGGAACTTATAGTATCAGTATAAAAGCCACACTTGTTTCAAACTTTGAAGATATACAAAGATTAACGTTTCTTAAATATCTATTTAATTTACATTTTTTTCTGGGATTTCATCATTTCTAATAAATTACAAGAAAAAGCCCACTATCTTATAATTCAGACTAATGCACGGTATCTGTTGAGAAAGATGATATATGGCAGTAGAAAATGTACTAACAAGAACCTTGAGAATCCTAATTTTGAGAACTCAGTCATAAAGTGTGTGCTACTTAACTGGCAATTATATCCGATGCAATTACGGGTTGCTATATTTGCTTGACCAGCTGTACACTCATTTTAAGAATATCATGCTGGACAAATACTTTTGAAACTTCTGAATTAAGAAAAATACGCTAATGAGCTGATAACTGGCAGCATCACAGACAATTAAAGTGACGTTTCTGTTTACATTGAATTGTTTGCTCTCACGTCACCGACTCAGCAGGGATGGAAAAAAAAATCTAATACCTGCCAATATGATCACAACAAAATAAACACAGGATTTTATTAGGGATCGAAGGAGAATGACCATAAATTGGGCAAAATTGGTACTAGGATAATTAAGTGCAGAGTTGTGAATATGTTAGAGGGTAGCGTGGATGCTGCTAGCCATCATTGTGGGATTTTGTAGGTTGAGCATTGGGTTAGATTAAGATCGGGGTTTGTTGGGGTTGGGCAATGAGGTAGAGGGGCAGGAAAGAGTGGGGGTGGATGGGGTCATGTCATGAAGCATGTCCACTTTCAAAACCTGTCACACTCATTTTCTCTTTAACATGTGGACGTGTGAATGCACACTAGCAGACACACAAAGGGGGTGAAAAAGCTAAAGGTGCTGGGGGGGGAAAGCAGTGAGGTAGAGGGAGCAGCTGAGGAGAAAAAAGTGTTAAAGAGGGGGTAACCAGATTCAGATTCAGATGATCTGTGGAGTGGGTGGGGTGTGGGAGTGGGAGCTTTAACGGTAGCTTGTTTCGCGACAGTGTGGGATCTGAGAATGAAATGTGGAAAAATAAGATAACCAGGAAAAGACAGTATATAGTACCTGAAGAATACCACACCTCACATAGGAAGAATGCCATACATACTGTACTCTGTATGCTCAATACCAGTCTCACACATAGGTATGAAGGAAGAAAAAATGCCACTTCTATGTGCAGAATATAAAAAATATCATAAATCATTACATTAATCATCACATAATGGCTTTCTGTAAAAAAAGAAAAGAAAAAAACAGTCCTCAAGCCTAAGCTCAGACAGACAAAGGCCAGGGTCCACCCCCCGTGCGGGTGCAGTATAAATGTATGCATTAGACCTAAATACAGCTAGCCAGACCCCCACCACCCCCCCCCCCCCCCCCCCCCCCCCCCCCCCCACCCTCAAATCGCCTCTATCACTCACTCCTGCTCCAACAAACCTGGGGGAGGGGCGCACGGCTGCACATGTACGCAACAAAAACACATGCAGAGTCTCCGAGCACATTACCTCCCCCTCCTGATCCCCTTTACATTTGAGCCCACGTCTTCTCGGCCCTTCTGCACACACAACCGAACCTCTCCCACCTGAGCTCCATCTCACATTGAATATGTAAGACAGCAGCAGCACATGTAATACACACATCTCTGCATATGAATTACACTGCTTATTTAAATACTTCTCATGTCAGACCCTCATTACGTCCCCCTGATATCTTCACTTTAATCCAAAAGACGTCTTTGTGAAAATGCGAGTTGAATCAGCCAGGAAAATATGCATTGTTAAACACATCTGAGCCAAGCAAGACAGATGTAGTTCCTGCCAGGTGCTGATGGTTAGAATTCATCTTTCGGAGAATAAGAGGCAGGATTATTACCGCCTCTTCACAGCGTGTGTGATTTACAGTCCACATCCTGCAGACAGATGAGCTGAGGGGTCTATTGTTTCAAACACTGCAAAGACGACATTACATCAATAGCTTGCCCATATGCCCTCACACAATCATCGCCCATAGACTTTGCATTATAATATTATCCTTGCAAATATATGTCTTTTGAGATCAATGGAGTCCTGCCCCAGACTTGTACATTGGTTTCCCTTGTTGCACATATTAAATGGAAGTGTGCAGTCCATGACAGGCAGATGGTACCCTCAGCCCCCTCTATTTCTCTCTCCTGTCCCAGGATACAAATAATCTGGTGCTCTATACGCCCCAATGCAGATGAACAAAAGCAAACACATACAGTATACAACAACATCCTAAATCCTATAGAGTACAAAAGCTTTAAGCTTTTTTCAATCAAAGTGCTTACAGAGTATTTGTTGTTAACAATGGACTCCACAATTTCCAATTTTTCCATGTAAAACAACTCCAGGTTGTAAGTGGTCTCCATATTAATGGCTCTCAAAAAAAGTCCTCTTAATATCTGATGTAACTTAAAATAAGGTGTTTCATTCCAGTGAAAGCTTGTATTATATACAACACTATACAAGCCACTCGCAAAGTACACCTTGGGCAACCTGTCAAGCTCTGCACACTCCACCTGAAAAGCTCTTTGCTGCACAAAGTTAAAAAAAACACTCATGTAGTAATATGAAAATGAAAGTTAGGTTCAGCTTGTGGAAAAATGTAAAACTTTTATTTTCTGTGTTTTATTTCTTTGTTTATTTCTTTCTCTTAAAAGCTCCCTTGGTGCTTACACATGAGCCCATTGGGTCTTAAATAAACGTACCTTGTATCTACATGCGTGAACAGTGTAAACTGCCAACCTACAACCTGGTGTCCTGTGTGCTTGCATTATGCAGTCAGAAAAAAGGGGGGGAAACTTCGCTCAACAAGCATCAGTCAGAGGCTTTGTGGCATTACTTGCTTGAAAACGTGCACACAAATTGCGCTGACAGCCGGTCTCCAAAGCCAAACTTCTGCCCACCGCTTCAATTAAACATAGACTGCAGACAACTTTCTATGTGATACTAAGTGCACGAGACAGTATGTGCGCGCGCGGGGTGGTAACATGTATTCTACTCTCGACATACTGTAAGTGCATGTCTTTTGTTTTTTATTTGTTAGTATTGCACAATCTCACAAGGACTCATCGGCTGCAGAAGACTGCTCCAGTGCGCGCTAAACGTGTTCAATTCATTATACTCATTTAAAAAAAAAAAAAACTAGAGAAATAAACCCCCCTCATTGCCTATGTTCAAACGATGTTATTTTTTTAAGAGAAAAAAAATCAATACACTTACGATTTTAAAGGATTATGAATGACAGTCGCCATCTTCCTGCCGGACTGTAATGCAATAATCCAAATCTCTGTGTAGTTTGGGACCCTTATGGAAATAAAAAGCCACAACAGCCAATGCTGTCCTGTCCACTGTGCTCCCTGCCAATACAACACCAGCACCAAGACGTTAGGCGTGGCCTCAAGGAAATATGTCAACAGACCTCACATTGGGATAATGTGGAAGCTGTATTTCGTGAAAACGACCGATTTGAAACATCATGACTTCTAGAAACAATAGGGTCACTGTGTATACCACGAAATTAATATGTGATTATTATTTTTGGACTATTTCATGAAGTTCCTAACATCTCTGTTGATCAATAATGCAAAAACCCATACGTTATTTTCTAATCACTAACGTTGCATAAAGTAGGTTTGAAACTCATTCTGTCAGCCTCATAGTGTAGGCATGTTGCACTGTTTTTATTTTTTGTTTTTTGGTGTCAAACATCCCTAAAATCCGTGGAATGAAAATCAGTTCGAACACAATACATTTTTGTCACTCGGAAGAACGAAATATCAACGCAAAATCGCATAATTTTTGCCTATGAGTCACAAATCTGCCTGCAAAGTTTTGCTTTTGCTATTAACGCTTGTTGGCTGTAAGGCGTGTGGTTAACTAAACAAATACAGCAGGTACAAAGACAATACAGGGCTACTTTAGGTGCGAATGAAATAAAAACGACTACATGCAAGTTCAGTCTTGATGTAGACGTAAGAAGCCAGGAAAAAACTATTTTAAGAAGCCAGGAAAAAACTATTTTAAGTAGCCAGTTAATTTCTGGCACAACAGTGGCAAAAATGGGAATTCTTGGGGCTTTTCCTGAATTTAACCATCTTTTAATGAAAAGTGCCGATTTAACAAATACCACGAATGCAACAATACATGACTAAGAAAATAACCAATGGACGTCTACAACGACACACCACTTTTAAAGAAATTGGCCAATGAACGGCAGAGAGGCGGGACAATATCACAGGAAGTCAAGTTGCATTTAAGGACAACTGGGATAACATATAGGTTTACCATAAGATCGTGGATAAAAATACGAAAAACTGTAACTATTAATGTATGCTAAACTTTTTCCTCAGTTGTCAGTTAGTAAAAGTTTCTCATCCCAGGCTCTTACAAGTACGTGGTCTTAATTGGAAGGAACTTAAACATTAAATGGCAAATATGTCTTTTTATTCTGCCATCGATTAAAAGACAAATAAATCCCTGTTCTTTATTGTCGTCCTCGGCTAAGTGAACTTTATATAGAATGAACATTGTTTGTTTCAGCAAGAGGAAAAAAATTCAGGGCCATCAATGTTTTGATTCTTTCACATTATACTTCCAACTGTGAAACAGACTTCCACATGTTCAAGGTACATGCGATGCGTTTTTTAAATCCAGTTTGCCAAGTGAGCTTGTTCATTACAGTCGAGTTCTCTCCAGTGTTTTTCGTGAAATATACGCTTATTTATATTCAACTTCATTTGACATATTAAAACATGTTATGTTACTCACGTATAACACCTAGGAAAAAACTATTCACCGATAAATGTTTAGCTAACATTGCCAGCTAAGCTAACAAGTAAACACGTTGCAGATCGTAGTCTCGGGCAGGAGTAAACGAAGACCAACGTGGTGTGTGGATCTGGAGATTTAAGGAAACGGTATGAAGAAGTGGAACTGGCGAGAGGGTAGACGACAGCACAGGCGACAAGCAGCTGGTCAACGCCATGGCTGGTACAGGGGCAACCGGCAGGCGTCAGGACGCGACGCGCAGTGGTAGTCCTAATTCAACTGAATGTGGTCTGATCCCATGATTGGATATTGATTGCCAATTAAAACATTTTTGTTGTTGTTGTTGGCAGGTATGGACAAGATGATGAGGGACCATCAAGCAGAGCAACCCAAAGAAGGCAGGAGAGTCGGTCTGACTCTGCTTCTCTGTCCCAACCCTCCAACTCTTCATCTCAATCTAACAATACAGCACCAGGTTGGTACCCGAAGCTACCTTCAGTAACGGAAACTGAGTCCTTAAAATGTGTCTCATAAACAACAGACCCACTTAAAAGGCTCCACAACATAAAATAGTGTGGCCCTCAGGGAGCACGTTGACTTTTTTTCTTTCTCCTGTTTTAGGATTAAGTGAAAAGCCGACTGTAAGCCTTGTGTCCATGAATTTTTTAAAAGGAAATAAAAGTGCTTATTTATGACTTTCTGATTTTTTTTCAGAGTTGCCTGGTTTCTACTTTGACCCTGAGAAAAACCGCTACTTCCGTCTGCTTCCTGGACACAACAACTGCAACCCACTGACCAGGGAACAGCTGCAGGGGAAAGAGCGAGAGAAACTGAGACACAATATGCTGGCAGAGGACGAGAGGCTTAGAAAAGTGAGTCTATGTTTGTTCTCTGGATAATACAGCCCTCCTTAACTGCTCCCATACTGCCACACACACAGATTCTGCACTTGCCTTGAAGCATGCACGCACAACTCCTAAGATCTCGGGTCGTTTTCATCTAAGTGTCTTTTTCTTTTAACAGAAAGCCCCTCGAAAAGGACTGAACACGTCTCTGCTGCTGCAGAAAAGACACGTTGGGCTGTTACCGGAGAACTCTTATTGCAGGTACTAATCAGAATCAGAATCAGAAATACTTTAATAATCCCAGAGGGAAATTATTTTTGTTACAGGCTCCATAAGCAAAATAAAACAAAGGCATATACATATGTACATGTCTATACATATATACATATATATACAAAATTCCTCATAAATATAAATTGACTGTTCATCACATGTGCCTGCAGCTGTAGAGCAGTATGGCAAAATTAAGACCTATTCCAGCGGTTTTGAATATGCTAAATGGGTTTTCTGTGGAAGAATTATGTTGATGTTGGGTTCAAATTCCCTTTTTTTTTTAAAAGATAGATTTATGGATGTAGTCAGTAATATTCATGGGTCATTTTCATATAAGCCCGGTGATTTATCTCTATTCTACAGGCAAACATTTGTATAGTGAGGGAGAAAAAAAACTAACCATACAGACACACAAGGTGTTATATTTGATGGAATGGGTGAAAATCTTTAGACGGGGCTAATCAGCGTTTATATGGTTATGATTTGATTCTCAGGCTCATCCATGAAGTCAAGGTCAGCGGAATGAGACGCCACAAACTGGAGATCCAGAGCACAGACAACAGCAGCCCGAACACCGACAACTTCAGACTCATAGTGGTGAGACGACACACTCGCACACGAGGAAACGCCTAATGCGTGGCTTCAGCCCGTGCGTGACCCGCTGCCGTCCTGGGCCTCCTCAGGGGGACTCGGTGTGCGAGCGCGTGTTCACGGTCAACGACGTCTCTCACGGCGGCTGCAAATACGGCATCATGAACTTCAGCAGCAGCAGCCAGGGCTCCCTGTCTGTGGAGATGTGCGACAACCTCTACTTCACCAACCGCAAGGTGGGGGCACTTCAGCACAGCCGAGACGCTGAATCCGGAATCCTTCCGGAAAGGAAAGGCCTGTCTCTGCGATCACACGCGATCACTTTTGAAAAAAATGTTAACGCAGTGTCTGCTGTGGCCTACTGTTTCAGGTGAATTCCATCTGCTGGGCGTCGGTCAACTACCCCGATTCTCACGTTTTGTATCCTTCCTTCAGTTCGTCTCATCACATTATTATGTTATTTGTATCCATATGGAAAGTCCATTTTGTAGTAAAGACAAAATTGCATTAAAAAGCTACCAACTTTGTCCTTGACTCAACGACTAACAGGCTTTGTCTGGTGGGCGCAGCGGACACCCCCGGCTGCGTCAGTCTGCTCCCCGCCTCTCTCTTCAGCAACTCTAATCCAGGTTAGTTTGCTCCATTTGTTCCATCTAGTTTCGATTTGTAATGGCAGTTATGAAGCCACAGCCAATTATGATGAAACATGGAGTATTTTTCTTTGATTTTTCTTTTGTTTTTGTTTATTTTGTTGGAAAAAATGACATTATCTTAAGAGTATGGCTTCTACAGACAGGCAAGGATGGCCTCTTACTTCTCCATCTGTGTTCTCAGACCAGCCTGGGATGCTGTGCAGCTTTAAGATATCCACAGCCTGGTCCTGTGCCTGGTGCCTCAATCCGCAGTTTGACAAGACGTTCAGCACCGGTCAGTCCCAAAGTCCAAACATTTGGAGGCTTTGCAGACGATGGACGACGGTGACGTGCTTTATTGACGAGACGTGCACATGTCATGCATCTGCGTGTGTTTCCAGGTCTGTCTCGTAGGGTCATCGTGAAAGATGCCGAGACGGGACGCACGCAGACATACAGCGTCGGCAGCGATGTCTTGGCTCAGCAGTTTGCCCTCAGGGTGAGGCCCCCCCCTTTTTCTTTTTTTTTTGTTATGGAAGGATGTTGTTTTTCTTTCTTTCTTTTTTTTGTTTTCTTTACTGAATTTAGATTAGTTTAGATATAGAACACGTACGGCCAAGAACCACTCCAAGGAAAAACAATTCCTCCACATCATCTGCAGGTGCCCGTTCTGTTTAACGGATGCAGATCGGGGGAGATTTTCAGCATCGACCTGCGACAGCGTGGCCGCAGGGATCACAGCTGGAAGGCCAAGCGCTTCCATCAGGAATCAGCCATCACATCCGTGCGAGTCTTACAGGATGAGAACTACCTGCTGGCAGCCGACATGCTGGGCCAGGTCAGACTGTCAAATCCAACCTTGTTCAGCATGTCTCCTTTAGTTTCTGGTGAAGGCAATAGGATTCTAGCTCATATTAAGTTACCTGATGATTCCATCCTATGATAAGAAGGGTACTCCAAAAAGGAATAGAGGGAATTATTGTCTAACACAGCTGCTCTGTGAATGTGTGCACAGATCAAGCTGTGGGACGTACGTGTGACAAAGCCAGTGCAGGAGTACAAAGGACATCACAATGAGCACGCATACCTTCCCATCCACGTCAATGAGAGCGAGGGGCTTCTGCTGGCAGGTAAGAGAGAATAAAGGGATTTTACTAGGGAAAGCCAAAAATGCGCCATGAGTTATTGTTCTTTTTAATGCTGCTTAAAGCAGTTCCAGAACAGCACTTTTTACTGTGCAAAGGTAAGAAATTAATTAAAGCCATCAAAAATTATCCTAGGGAAATGTACAGTTAATCCTCTATAGAGTGGACAGTTAATAGGTAATACATAAAAATATCCCATCTATAGCCCCATTTTCACTATGTAATCAACTGGTTTGTTTGCTTACCACAGTGGGCCAAGACTGCTACACAAGGCTGTGGAGCCTAAAGGATGGCCACCTCCTTCGGACCATCCCGTCACCTCATCCGGCTGCAAACGACATGATCCCCAGCGTCGTCTTCTCCTCCAATTTAGGCGGCAGCAGAGGCCTCCCAGGGCTGCTCATGGCCGTCAAACACGACCTGTACTACTTTCCATACAACACCGACTACCAGGAGGGAGGACAGCCTCGAGGAACAGAGTGAACGTGCTTCCTCAAATAGATGAATGGTTTGTTTTGGCCATCTGAATCAGGGGCATTTAAGTTCTGCAGTTCTGCCAACACACCAGCCAATATGCAGTCTATCAACAAGTAGTTTTCAAAACTTGTATTGGGTGCTGTCCAGTGGTGAAATAAATGGTCTCCTATGCCCTCCTCTAAACACTTTATCTAGTTCTCCATGGAAAACTACAAAGCCAATAGTGGAGAATTCATGGGAGCTGACAGGTCAGCTCAACGGTGCTCCACTGTAACTGGGCCATTCAGTTTCTGCAGTTAAGAAAAGACGTTTCCAGGGCTCACGGTGTCCCTATTTTGCCTTTATTCTGCACAGACACACTTGTGTTGTGTGTCCTCAATTAGCAAAGGATGCGCTTTTTCAGCATCCCAAATCAATTATTTAATGTAATTTACTTTGAGTCTCTCTACGCTTTGGCTGAGGTCAGGCAGATGTGACGTGTTCTTTTGAATCTGTTATAGCATGCTTCAGCGCGCCAAATGTAACTCTGGATCGGGCGGAAAAGCTAAAAACTGCTGGTATGTCCTGACGTCCTCATCTGACTGTGTGTGGTCTGCATTTCTTATATTTGCACAAGAAGCAGACGCAGGTGAAAACCACTGCCTGAAAGATGTCCACCAACCTGGTGCTGTCACCCCAGATGCTCATTAATCTCAGGTGTCAAAAGAGTTGTGGATGCCAGGTAATCTTGCTTTCAGTCTGTATAGAAGTGAACAACATAAATACATTGTCGATTTAAAGGTCTTTCGAGGAATTTTACAAAACTGCTTGTTCCATCATTAAAGTTTCCCAAACTCTCCTTCCTCGTTTGGCTGACATGTTCTCACTCTTGTTGAATCTCAGAGGAATGTAATTTTTGACTGATCTCTTTGTGGCATGATTAAATAAAAGTGCTGCTTTCTTCAAGAAGTGCACTTACTCAGCAGGTGGCGGCTGATGACTCCATGGGCCTGTAGAAAGCAATGACCTGTTCGAGTTTTAACTCGTGTTTTCTAAATGCAAAATCGTGGTATGATTAAAAAATATCTTCCACAAAAAGAATGGCACCGTTGTTTCACTGACACAATACACACACTGAATTTATGCAGTTTAATACTGTATGAGGATACATGAACAGAAGCTACTGACTGGTTCTGTGTGATATCTATATTAAGTGATAGTCCTTTGTGAGACAGAAGCAATGATAATCCTCTGACTGAGGTTATAAGTCATTTCAGCCCAGATGTTTACTCAAACACCTGCCAGCACCGTGTGCCAGATTCCATCTGACGTCTACATGCGGGCGTGGCTGGTTAGGTGCTGCAGCTCATCGAAAGCTCCACACTAACTAGCTGCATGTGAACTCAAGTTAACAATAACTCCTCTGATCATCTCCTTTATTTGTTTCATTTGAGGGGCCAGCCTCAAAAGACAGAAGTCTTTACTGTACTATATTGCTACTGTGAGCCAGCCACTCGATAAAAGCAGTCCCTGTTGAATGTAATTGTGCTGCAGTCAGACTAGTCTTGCAAAAAGAAAAGCAGTTTTGACATTTAAAAACACCTCAAATTGTCCCTATTACAGTAAATTATTCCCCACATGTCCGCCGAGCATTCCTTGTAAATTGTGAGCAATTAAGTTGGACAGCATTATTAAGGCTGCTGTTTTATCATCGGTCCATTCAAGGGATAATGTCTCGCTAGTTTTTAAGTAATGATATGATTTGGAATGCATCTTAATGCTACAGTACACCCCTGGCTTTTGAGTGTTCTACTATGATCCTCGTGAAATATAAGTTTGGCGGGAGAGGTTGCCTTATGACCATGGAAGGGTTGGAAGTTTTCTAATAGATAGGTTTTCTAATAGATAGGTATCAAATTTTAGCATTTCCAGGGTTTTTCTGACCTAAAAGGCCATACCAAACCCTTAGATTAACAGATCCTTCAGATACCCATCTTTTAGATCATGGTTACAGTCAGGATAATACCAGACAGTTTTTTCTCTTTGTTTTAACAAAGTGTGGAGGTGCTACAAGTGTTAGTGTCTCAAACAAGTAGGGATCGTCAAACAGGAGGCACTGGGTTTTTGTGCACTAAAAACTAAATTTTGGGTCTATTAAAGGAAAGCCATGGGGAATCAGCTATCATTGTCTCTTTAAAATGAAAGCCTCACTCAGTCTGGTATGCTTCACAGTGTAAATCATTGGTGTATCAAAATCAGCGGAAATCAATGGACCGAAGAGATCTGAAGCCGGCGTTAAAAAGATATGAACCTCAGTCCAACTTCCCATAGTCTAAAGGCAGCTAAAAGCAAAAAAACAAACAAACAAACAAAAAAACCTCCACGCACACATTTACAGTTTCTTTTTGTTCTCCCTTCCAGTTTTTGATATGGCTTGTGTCATTGACCTTTTCACCCTCTGATCCTCGCTCCCCGTCCCGCTAAAGGTCCCCGGGTTTCTGGCAGCAGCCGTTGCAAACCCGCACCGGGTGGTCCCACCCACGGGAGGGCACGGGGCGGCGTTCCTGAGAGCAGTCGTCACACACGCCCTGGCCACAGGCGCGGCAGTGGTGGATGGACAGGCGCGCCGTGAACTCCCTTTGGCACTCGCAGCAGGAGTGGATGTCCTGATCCGGGACCCAGTAGGCCGGGCGCGCTGCATCCTTCACCAGGCCTGTGGACACACAGACAAAAAACAAAGCCACCGGTTAACGCGTCTCTTTGCTGCTTCAGTTAGTTTCGACATCATTCCATTAACCCATGTTTTTTCCTCACCGAGAGGGATGTCTATGGCGCCGACCACAGCACCCAGAGTGTTCTGAACAGCCTCTCCGACCTTCCTGGCAATCAGAGTGCCTCCCTCTTCTTCCAAGGCAGCATCAAGTAACTCTACCAAGGCAAATATCCAGTCACATACAAGAATGCCATCCAGGAAACCGTTCTGATCAAACCGTGATCCGTCTGTATACCGGTTGGGATGCCCCTGTTGTGGAAGCACGCGTCACAGACTCTGACAGGGGCGAGGCCCCAGCCTCTCTCTGGGACCGGCCGGGTTTTCGAGGAGCAGGCATCACAGAAACCCTCTCCGCAGGCACGACAGTGGTGCTTGGTGTCATTGGCCTGGAACTCCTCACCGCATTTATGACAATTCTACAACAGATGAGAAAAAAAAAGACCTGCACATTATAACTCGGAAAGAGCACCAACACTTGTTTTCTCCATTTGTGCTGGATTTGTGCTTAGGCTTTGTACCAGGATAAGAGAGTTGGGCTTCCAATAGGTCGGTGCGATCTGGTCGGTGAGCCAGGAGGTGACCGCTTTGGCAGGTTTAACGCTGAGCTCGGACACAGACTGGGAAATGTACTTGACCCCGTCCAACAACCTCTGTGCAGCATTGTTGTTGTCTTTCAGAAAACCATCCGACTGAAAAGAAAGCACGACACAGTCCGGGATTACAGCAGAAAAGTTAAATCATGTAGCAGCGGTGTGACATTCGTTTAGAGCTCATCACGCTGACAGAAACATGGCGACGTCATGCTTTCTTAAAGGCAGTGAAACCGACTAAGCAAAGTCCATTGCCATTTTCGTAGCTTTGATTAAAGGTGTTGGGTGAAAGAGTCTCCTAAATGCCTTCAAAGAGCCTTGCAGCTCTAAGTGGATTTGACTCAGAAGCCTCTGTAGTCTTGGCTTCAGTTGACTCTAATTGGTTTAAGCAGAATCTCATTTATTTGGTTCCAATGTGGCCTTACCCCAGGCCAGATGTGTTGGATCTCTGTTCTGACCACCGTTTCCACAGGGTCCTGGTTTCCATACCAGTACTGCCTGCTTCTGTAGATCACAGCACAGTTGGGGCACTCAATTACGTATCTGGGGAAAGACAAAAAAACAAAACAAAAAAAACAGATCACATTCAGCCACAAGACGACGGACGTGGAGCTATACAGCAGCTTCCTTTTTTCAAACAGTAATGGGAAAGCTATAAGTGATTGGAGACCAGACGACCAAATGTTGGCCACCGATTACTTGTGTCTTCTGAAACCTTCTGTGCACTCACCCTGACCAAGCATAGATAGCCAAGCCAAACCACGGTGAGTCAGAGGAGGCGGTCGTTTTGGGAACCACTATTACTTCCTTTCCTCCCTCGTAGCATGCCTGAGAAGTTCAGCACAAACGCTCAGAGCCGTGACAAACAGGCATGCTGCACATGCGTCGGTGCGCTTGTACTCACCTTGCAGGTGTAGATTCGGTTGTCATACTGTGCAGAGTAGCGGCAACGATGCTTGGCCTCATGCTCGAGTCCTTCCTTTAGATGATTCATGCTTCTCTTACAGCCTGACCTGGAGGGGAAACAGAAAAATAAGGATCTCTGCAACAAAAACATGTCTACAAATGACTCAGGAAAAACAATACCCTTCACGATATTCATCCTTCACAATACTTCAAAAGAGCAGATACACCCCAAGAATACAAAGGATAGAATTGGCTGTAAAATATAAATGTTAGCTTGGGCGTGGCTGCCAGACACGTACCCACAGCTGAGACAGAGGCTGGAGCAAGTGAAGTACTCGTCCGGAAAGAAGGAGTTACTGATCATTTGTTCTTCTGAAATATCTCCACTGAAGCGCTCACTCAGGGCCTGAAACCAGGTGGAGATATGAACATATGAGAGGTTCTGTGATGTTAAGCAGCAGCACTGTCTGAAGTGAGCATAAGTACCAGCAGGGCTTTGTAGACGACGCTGGCAGAGCGTGGTGATCGGGTGGTGTTGTTATCCAGCTGGTGCTCCAGGCTGCGCAGCAAACCGCTGAAGTCCGTGGGAGGGTTGTAGGTCCGAGTCCCACGGTACTGGACAGAGCTGAAGGCCTCCGGAAAGAGGCCCAGTTTTCTGAAACGCTCCTGGAGCAAACGGTCGGCCGATTCAGATGGTTTGTCTAAATATGAGCATAAAGTCAAAAAGAGAAATATAAGGACTGGAACACACTCCCTGTTTAGCAAAAGCATGAGCTGCTTTGATACCTGATCCCAGGAGCTTGGTGTGGACAGTCTCATGGAAGATGATCACGGCGGGCCCCAGAGTGGATAATGGAACATCCAGGCCACAGCGAGTGGTGGTTGCCTTCAGCTCCTTTGTGAAGTGTTTTAAGTATGCGTCTGAAGCATCACCGAGGAACTTGAAGAGATCGTCGTGGAGACGGTCAGCATGTGTGCGGTAGATGACCACATCAGAGATGGCCAGGACCTTCAGGAGAAGCCGTGTTCGTTGGCCCTGATTCGCTCCTGATGGGTGAAAGAAAGGTGGCCGTTAATGTCCGTTAGGCCTATATCTCACAAGTTCAGAAAATCCATAATAAGCTCCTTACCAGCACCAAGTAACCCCTCTGTGTCGATCACTACGACCCTATGCAGAGGGTCCATAGCAGCCCAAACACCCACAGTGCAGGACTCTTGGGTAGGGGAGGTTTTGAACACTTCCCTTCCAAGAAAGAAGGTATGGTTCAGCGTGTGGGATTTGCCCTCGCCGGTGTTGCCAAAGATGGAGACCACTTTGAGAAGCTCATCTGGTTGGCAGTCCAGTCGGCTAACAAAATCGTCCTCGTCCTTTACCTGGGAATGTACCCAAAGATATCTCATGCATCATAAAATGATCAAAAGCTTTTAATGAGTGTAACTGACTTCTCCGGCACGTACCTGCATCTCTTCCTTCTCATCAACCAACAGGAAGCTGCACACTTTCTCCAGCTTGGACTTGAGGACCTCCATCTCCGTCTCCCCAGAAATAACACTGCTCTCCTGAAGAGTTTTGGCAGGGGGGTATGGTGTCAAAGGGTGCTTTCTTTTGTTGACTCCACCATGAGTGCGTCTCTGGCAATCCAAACAGAGGTTGATCTTACAGCCCTGGCAGCGCACCACCGCCCTGAGTCTGACAACGCAGCTGTTGTCACCTTTACAGGAGTCACAGAAGGGAACGTGGCCCGGTGTGATCCGAACCCTGTCGTGATTCCTCATGCGCTCCTGACGATGGAGCTCCAGCTCACAGCGGGCACACTGCAAGCTTCCGCATTCATCACATTCAAACGCGGCCTCATCTGACCCACCGCAGGCGTAACTTTCCTGACAAACCAGGACTGTGTTCAGTCCTTTATCCACTGCTGGACTTTGACCACTCATGTTAAACCTGTGTGTTCAGGCTGATACCCCTAGATCTGACAACAAATGAGGGCTGTAACTTCAGGTAGACCTCCAACAGGGGTTCCAAAACTACTGGAAAGGAGGACATATGTTTAGGTAAACCTCTTTGGACAAGTGGCATGTAACCTTATTGTTCAAGTCCCCACAACAACAACAAAATCATACACTCATAATCAACCCTATCAGAAATGACCAACTTATCATAACTTCATAACTAGCCAAAAGTAAATAAATTCGAAATTTAAATTTCAAAAACTCTTACTCGGGTTATTATTCACTTTTTTGTTTTGCCATTTCAGCTTGCTTGCTAGTATTAGCAGCCCCGCATCTTTTGTCTTGTTGTAGAGACGTTTCAACTCAACAAACGATGCCAAGTTTCCAGATATAGCCCTGTATGCTCGTCATAGTAAACCGTGAAGCTCGATAATACGCTGTCATTAGCTAACACGAGTTACCGAACAAAAATAAACACTTCTGAGGAAACAAACAACCTTCATTTCGGTCCGCTGACCTAGCAGTTGCTAGCAGTCCGACGAACGCTTCGTCAACTAAAACGCTGCCTCGACACAGTCTAAAACTGTCCACGTCCTCTGTCTTGCGCCATCCCGCCGACTGCCACATATAGCCAATGTCGGTGAGAATGTTAACCAGCTGAGCTACGTTGATCAGCACCTTCTCGTAGATGTTGTTGCTTTTGCATCAGCTGATCGACTTGTTTTCATCCAGAGGTCAAAAGTCGTAAGAAATACATTGCATTTTGGGAAATGAAGGATTCAATGTGTGCACAGAAAGCCGGTGTCCTGGTTCGTCTCTAACGACGAAAAATGTTTGTTTCGGTTACAGCGCATGTAATAACAATTGCTCCACACTTGAAATCCAAAAGTGACCACAATAAAGCTTCTTGGCCACTTTAAAAAGCGAAAAGAAGGCGTCCTGCCAAACTGGAACAGTCGGCACGTTTTCATAAGCTGTAATTGGTGGATAGGTCGTCACCTAACAGGACAACAGCCAATCACAGGCGGACATTTATCTAGCTTATCCAATTCAAGAAAGTATCACCGGTTGCCCACAATGCTTTGCTCCATCGAGCTGCTGCGGGGTATGTTTGTATTGTACACGGGCGCTTGCCGTAACAGAATTGTTAGCCAAAAACAGACTGAAATTGATACGGGTTTAATCAGTATTAAAATATGAGCCCATGCAGTTAACGGATTAATCACATTTCCTGAATGTTCCAGTTTACTTACCATATATCTTCCTGTGACTACTTTCACAAACGCCGGTTGTTGGCGTTTTTAGGTTCTTGTGTTTACTAGCACCATTCGTTGACGCTCCGGTCCTCTCCTTTACGTCCCGGCGTCGAAAACAGTGCATCCAAAGTGAACATTGATTTTACACTAGGGCTGTCCTTCATAGCTTTTCGATTTTCAGTAGTATTTTTATTTGAGGTTTTGCTATTTTGGAATAGTTTGGATAAGCAAGATTCTGGCAGGTGTTTAAGTCGTTTTTGTTTTATGCACAATGGACGACGAAGCCTTCACCAACATAAGCGGAAAGCCTATATCTCTAGAATGCCACAGCCACTCCAGCTTTTGCAGGGAATTCACTGTTAGCTCTCCCAAAGTGTCCATCGGCAAGGTGACGGTGTACACCTGCTGTGTGTGGCTGTTAGCTTATGGCGTGTTCTTTTTTACACAGGTGAGACCATGGGTTTTTATTCGTGGCTAAATAGGACCCGAAGTGGACGTCTTTAAAATGTATTATTCCCACCTCTCTTTTAGAACACGGCGGTTCTCTCCAGCGCTATATTCATCACCCTCATTGGCATGATGCTTCATATCCACCTCGTGAAAGTGGACCATGAGACCCTCCTAATCATTGGCTCCTTGGGGATTCAAGTCTCGTCCAGCTACGCCTCGGGCCGCGAGATCACCACTTTCATCGAGATGAGCAAGATCAAAGATATAGTCATCAATGAAGCTATTTACATGGTACATACTGACCTTAATGTTTTTGTCACTTATGCAATTGCATTTATTTCTTTATATATATATTTCCAAAGTGATCTAATTCTTCTATTGCAGCATCAAATCATCTACTATCTTTGTGTGCTGTTGAAGGATCCCTCAGAACATGATACAGTGTCAGGTGTTGTACCATTGTTTCAGGTAAGATTGAATCTAAGGTGTACCCATATCTCTATAATCCAGTCATTATATGTTAACTATCTTGCAATGAACAACCTGTCTTTGCCTTTCAGAGCTCAAAGCCACGGCTCAACTGCTTGGAGAAAGTTTATAAAAGCTGTCAAGAGATTCTCTCGGCCTGCCAGTGACCCACAATACATGTATACAAAGTGTCTATAGACAGCCAGCGTTTTTTTATATGTTGTTTTATCCCATTTTGAACATATGGATGTGCATTGTATTTTTAAATGACATAAGAAAGTCTCCTTTTCACACTCAAATGACTTCACACATGAAGGGAGGTGGATGCATTCCTTTGCCATGTTTTATGGAAGAATATTAGAGTTGAAATGCTGGTATTTGTGATATAGTTGCTGGAATGAGAAAGGAAAAATATATTGCTATATATTACTGGTCGTTGACTACTTTTGTAAACCCAAAAAGCTCAAACTAGCACTAGTAAGGCACCGTTTTATATGTATTCAGATTTGAAATGACAAGCTAAACCAATCCCTTTGTTCTATATATTCTCAAAACTAATAACTTAATATAATATTACTAAATAGCAATTTGTTTTTTTTCTAGTCTTTGTGGAGTGTGCCCTGTCTACCAGAAGGGGGCAGTATTACATTTATTTTAAGCTGTGGACCTCAGGTTCTTCATTTGGATCTAAAAAGCCGTTGAGATACACGTGAGACTTGTGTTGGCCTGCGTTTGTCTACACTGTTCATTTAATTGAAACCTTGTTTTGAATTCACGCTCCAAGGGGAACCAGAATAACTATTGACTGGCTTGAGAGCGTTAACGCTTTGGTACACGTATAAATAGATGTCCATACATCTTCCTCAAATGTGTTTTCACTTCCCCATAGACATACTTTAACTTTTTTCGAGACACTTGCCCACATCACATTTCTGACATCTGTTATTTTTGTTATGCTTTCACATCTAGTATTACTTAAGGTCACCTCACAAATTATACAAAAATGACAGTACGTGCAGAATTATTATTAAATGCATCACACAAATTACATTTGAAGTTTGCACTAGATTTTTGTTTTTAAAGTACTGTGCAATCAACCATAAAGTGGCACCTGCGAGCCATCTTTCAGACTGTTGTCTTGTGTGACGACAGGTCGGCATTACTGTAGACTCAGGCCCATACATTCAAGAATCTTTGATTTCAGTTTTTTCTTTTCTTTTTTTGTGCTACTTTCTGAAAATAGACATTACTAGAAAACTATTAAGTTGAGCATACTTAAAGCCTATATATATATTGGAAAACAGTGTAAAGAAAACAACAAATGTAGCCTAAATTGTGCCATTTGCTGTGTCATTAAGTCATTATTCTTCCTTGATGTTGAAACTGCTGCTGTAAAGGGTCTCCTTTTGATATGTTTGTCCTACAATAATAAGTTACAATCTGCCAAATCTCTGAGAAGCGTAAGGGATCGATTCTGCCGGACAGCTGAGAAGACTCCTACAATGGAATTACATCGCTGTTACATGTTCAGAGTGTGGATTTGAGTTGCCTTGTATTAATAAAGCCTTCCTGATAATCTGGATAACATTTGTTTAAAAAAGGGGTTTATATTGTTCAGCATTAACAATACCTTCACAGATTTCCAACTCACACGTGCCAGGCTTACTAATACGGTCTCGTATCATTGGAAACGATGGGGTTTTGTGAGCCGCTAATGGGCCAGATGTTCTCTCAATCTCTATCTTGAGGGCAGATGCGTCCAGATTTCAAAGATGGGGTTCTAATTTGTAGACCGCTGAATATTTACCTGTTCAAAGCTAGGTTGCAATTTGCATTTATGCATGCAGTCCTGATTAGTGGTCAGTGACCATGATTACCAAAGGCGTCGCTGAGTCAATGTACTCCAGTCCACATAATTGTTTCTGTCCTCTCTTCCCACCACAAGCCAGTCATAGCTAATATGTTTTTTTTCTCTGCCTTTTGTTGTGAATTACGATCAATCAATTAAAGAATTCTATTTATCCTGCAAGGGGATATGACTAAGTATAGTGAAGAGTAATTTAAATGTAATTGTGATCCTTTCATGATGCATTTCTTGGAAACCAAAGATCATGACCTTTTTTGTAGGCATCAGTGTCACTGTATTTTTTCACAAAGGCAACACCTCAAGTGGCTGAATACATAGCTTACAATGTTTGCTAAATTTGGTCATCCTGCCTTATTTTGTACTCCATGCGATCTGTATTTTTGGCTTTAACCTATTAAAATATGTCGGGATAGTTGTAATTTTCATCAGCCATCTGCAACCACCACTCACAGCTCTGTGTGAACTCTATACTGCAGAGGTCAACAAAACAAGTAGAGGGGTGTGATATTCACGGGGCGAAACATTACCCAGCTGTGAAGAGTACCCTTCTGATGGAATAATAGTCCCTCCTGGAGGTGTGAAACAGCCAGGAACCAGCCAGAGAAGACCTGGAGCAGCTCTGAATCACACCTCAGGGTTTCTCAATAGGCTTCATAAAGCTGCAGCTACCCCCATCGGGTGGGGACTAAATGTGGAAGGGCAAAAACTTCCTACTGAAGCAGACTGTTCATTTCCCGCTTTTTGAGGAGGGCTGCAACAATTAATTCATTTAAAAAGTTACATTAAAAATGTGCAGCTTTTGATGAAGACATTGTAGAATCCAATTAGTTTTCTTTGGGTGTGTTTTTATAGAAGGAACATAGCCCCACTGAGAAGGGGAGTTATCCCCTTACCACCTGTAGAGCACACATGCACTCCCATGTGCACAAACTCACAAAGCTGAACAGACAAAGACATAATGAGGTTATGTTTACTGTAAAGATTTAGTCAAATGTCCTAAATCTCTAGTGTCTGCACATAGTTTTTTTTTAATGCAGCTGCTTAAATGCACATTGATCAGCTCTGCGCATGCTGATCAGTTAAATACTTTTATGGATATTTTTTGTCTTTGTTGTTGGTTTCCTTTCTTGTGGAGGAAGATCTCAGTCTGAAACACCATAAGATATTTTCTTTGAAAAAAGAGTAAGATGTGCCCTAAAAATACTTCTGCTCATGCAGATTTGGCTTTACATCTACAGTATTTATTCAGTATAGCCTAGCATATGAAACATCCAAAACATTCATACAAGTTTTTCTATAATAGAAGTTAAAGGCATGGTATTAACTGGCAATAATAGAATATCATAGTCTGTATATTCTTTGATTGAGTGTGTTTATTAAATCATGGACGTTAGACTTTTTCCCAATGGTAAACTGCTGTTTCCTTCTGTAGTTTCATATAGATTCATACAGAAAGTTTTGTGTAGTAGTTTGTCAGTTGGTTTATGGTGCCCCTTTTCAATATAATGTTGCGGCTTTTTTATTGTCTTTGTGTATTGAGTTACAAGCTAACAGGTGCTGTAGGAAAGCATTATATGTTATTGTCTGCATAAAGGCGGTTATTCACTCTACATACCGGTTCAAACAAGCAGGAGTAACACAATGTGTGTTTGAAAACGCGTGTGAAAAAAAAGAACGAATGAAAAATCCCTCCCTGCCTCACAGGTAACGTCGCCGGAGATTTACCTGTCACTTCATTCTCTGTGTTTCAAACACTTCTGAGTAGTGGCATCAGGGAAGTATGTTTTTATGCAGAACATTTCATATGCTTCCACTCAAGTAGTTGTATTTTGTTAAAGAGGATTAGTTTAGGCAAAAATCAGAGTGGAATGATTTGGACTTTGGGCACACAGGACAAGGTTTCTGATGTTTAATCTAAAAATCTAGGTTGTTATGTTAAATCCGGGGTCTTGAAACTGAAGTGAGCAAGCAGGAACTGGACAGCTTTCTTGCTTTATTTCATCGTGCCTTAATTGCGTTTGGACATAGACACATGAAACCTGAGAAATATGTTTAAATGATTAAGCTTTGAGACAGTAAACAAATTTGAAAATGTTTTGTTTGTTGACAAGAGAGTAAAAGCTCATGCAGGTCATTTTCAGATTATAACTATAGAACACTCCCTGATCCTTGGATCAGCTTGACATCCAAAGTTGGAAAGCAAAGGAAACCTCTTAAACCATGTTGAAGCTTCTCTGCATGACAAAATCATAATGTAATGGCAATATGAGTTATTTCAAGCTCTGCTCTGACTCATCTTTTAAACCACTTGCCTTACATGTGTTGATGGAGGATTGTGCTGGTAGCAAACCTCCACAATTACAACAATGGCTCACATGGAAAGCATACCTGTTTCTTTTAAGGGGTGAGACATACATTTGCTGTTGATGACACACTTGAGAAGATGTGTTTTCTGCCTGATTTCTATTGTATCCACACATATTTCATCCACCGCCGAGAATGTGTCTAAGTGACGTCTGTGGTGTAAAAAAAATGCTCTCCATGAGGGTTGTAATGTATAGATGTTCTTAGTGGTTTTTTTGCTCATACTACGACTTTTTTTCCCCTGGAATTTTTGATTCTTCACTCTAACCAAGGGATGTTAGGAGCAAAAGCCATCCAGGATATGAAAATGTATATATGCATTTATTATTGTGTATTTATACTAAGTCAATTAGTAAAATGGTACACATGAAGGTAAGTGTGGTGATCTAAATTGTGGTCTCAATTTAGTTAAACAAAGACTTTAGACACTTTCCATATTTAATACAAAAGGCCTGTGTTTTGTAGAATCCATGTACCATGCCTGTATGACAAAGGCCCACAAGCAAGTGACCAGAAGGGCTACACGTCTGGGTTCCCTGCAGTTGTATATTTGCATATCTCTTTGCAAGTGTTAGGATCTTGACAACACTGGAGGTCTAAAGATAGCTTTTTGTTTCTTTAAAACATCAAATGTAAAAGAAAACTAAATTCTCCCCTTTCGTACAGTTAGTTTAGAAATGGACGTTTTAGGTGGAGTTTAATCCTTTAACTGAAGTTATGGTGTTCCAAAGACTTCTGCTCTGACACAGATATTTTTATTCTGTTTACTCAGACAAGATTAATAATTTGATAGAGAAGTCCAGCAGTGTCCTCTTTTACAATGTCTGTGTTAAGGCTGTAAGAATTGTATTTACTACAGCCCCCCTCACCAGAAACAGGCTGCCAACTGCTTCTGTTCTTTTAAAAACAATAACTTTTAACAATACTGGAAGCCCA